TGGATCTTCATGTTGTACTAAATGATTTTTTGCTTATATTTTTGTGGTTGTAATAAATATCTTTATGTTATAAGCTAAATAAATTATCATGACTTTGATTTATTATTGATTGTCATTTTTAATATAATGTTACCTTAATTTCTATATATTATACTAAAAAATTATTATGCCGTGTCCACGCCACACCCGTGTCCTATATTTTTAAAAAATGCCATGTCCCATGTCTGTGTTATGTCGTGCCCGTATAGCCGTGTCCGTGTCCATGCATCATAGCTATGATATAGTATATGGCTTTGATGTTTATTTTTGAAGTAATAAGGGCACCCCATTCATGCAAGAATATTCTTTATTTGTGATTTGTCCTCCCCGAAAGAAGCTAAGTCTTTCATGCATTTTTAAGACATGCTTTGATATATTGCCCCCTTCTTAGAGCAACTAGATTAGACAAATTTATCCCTTTTGCAAATTTTAGTATTATGAAATTTGATGTACATACGCCTTCAAAGACTTTTAGTCCTCTAAGGTCTTTTTTATAAATGTGTCTTTTGAGGCTTTTATCCTTCTAATGTCTTTTGTGTACCTGCGCATTTTGAGACTTTTAGCATTTTAAGGTCTTTTGTGTGCATTTGTCTTTTGAGGCTTTAGCCTTATAAGGTATTTTGTGTACCTATGTCTTTCGAATAAGTGATAGCCCTATTAACCATTTGCTCTCATGGAGCCTTTCTAGTGAGGACCCTATCCACTACTAACTTCCCTTCGAGCTACCTCATGGGCTAGCCTTCCTAGGGCTATGAGTGGAAACATTATCTTCCACCTGCCATCATGATGTCTTTCTAGTGAGAACCATGTCCACTACTATCTTTCTTTCGAGGGTATCTCATGGGTGGGCCTTCCTGGGATTATTATATTATTTCTATAAAGTTTCATTAATAAAACTTGCTTGAAAGATAACATAATTTGAATATTCTAAAGAGTTTGAATTAGGGGAGATGACATAATACTATAGAATAAAAGTGAGAAGATATAGAGATGGATTTTGTCACAGGATTTCCAAGATCAAAGTAAAAGCACGACTACATATGGGTTGTGATTGACAGACTAACAAAATCAACACATTTTTTACCCATTTGCCAGACTGATTCAATGGAGAAATTACTAAATTCTTTTTTAAGGAAATAATTAGATTCCATAAAATATCTAAGGTCATTGTGTCAGACAGAGATGGATGTTTTACATCTTAATTTAAGAAGAACATTCATGAAAGTTTGGGCATAAAATTACAATTTAATATCACATTTCATTCACAAACTGATGATCAATCAGAAAGATTGATTAAAATGTTAGAAGATTTGTTGAAATTATGTATGTTGGATTTTGAAGGTAGATGAGAAGATCATATCTCGTTAATATAATTCACTTATAATAATAGCTACCAATCAAGTATCAAGAAGAAGAGAGAAAACTAGAGAAATTGAGGAAGGAATAATTTAAGTAAATTGCTTTTATTACCATGTTATTATTGTTTTGTAGATTTCCTAATGTTAGTAAAAATTATTAAAAAAAAAATTAAATCAATTATGTAGAAATTTAGATATTATATGCAGAAAGGACATTCTGAGATAATTTACCAAAGTAAATGAGAACGAGGTGCCGTCTTTGAGGAGACAGCTCGTCAAGGAAGTAAGATATGCAATTCTAAATTATAAAAACAAATATTATGAATTCTAGCTACCCACAATGTTAATCGACTCAATTGAATGTATAAATGTATTAAGATGATTCAAATATTGAATATGAGCATATATCTAAGCATTCATGTATAAACTGCCACATATATTTTTGAATAATTGGAGTTTAAATTAAGATGTAATAGAATTGTTTAAAGGTTTTTCGAGCTGATGATAATTTGAAAAGAAGCTTATTACATTACATGTTGTCTACACTTTTTTTTTATGTAAATAGTGTAATAGATAGATTTTATGGAAACATCTGAAATGACAAATCAAGTATGAATTATTAAATTTGAAGTCTACTAAATATCAAAATTACGAAAGATTGGCTGCGAAATGATATGATACCTACAAAGCAGGTGAGACAAAAGAGACCTTGAATATGAAATCTGTATTGCGGATGGGGCAAAAGGGACACCGAAAGAGTCAAAAGAAACCTTTATATAGTTCAATGGTGATAATGTCAGGCTTGCCTGAGCACCATTGAACTTTCTTATGAAAGTTAATAATATGAAAAAATGATAGTTAAATTCTTGGAAGATTTATTATGATATTTTATACATACTTCAAATGAAATAAAAGAATGATTATGATTTTTTTGTTGTTTTGTGAAAGTTTGTGAGTTGATTCAATTATATTATTTATTATTATCTTGCATTTAATTTCTTATTTAAATTGCATAATTTTAGCAGCTTCATAGCTTACCAGTTTTTATATGCGCTATTATTACAAGTAAAGGCAAGGAAAAAATGGAAGCATATTAGGCTTAGGTTTTTGAATATTTAGGTTTATCTATTTAGCAAATGTTTGTGAGTCTTTATGTGAGGTATGCAAACGGTACAAATTCTAGATTATATATTTTGATTTTTAGTAGCTCTGTAATTACTTGTGTGACGCAATTGTGACTATTAAGATGCTTTTTTTTATTCAGAAAATGTATTATTAAATGTATGGGTTATATACAAGTATTCAAATGATGAAAAATATTAGATATTAAAAATTATGAATGTTATGTTTATCTCTGTAACATTCTAAGCTACTAATAAGGGTATCGTGAGGTGTTATAATTATCTTCACTGAACTACATGGATGTCCCTTTTGCCTCTTTCGAGGTTCATTTTACCCCATCTGGGAATATTAGAAATTACTAATCTTTCATTTGATGAGCCTGAATTAGAAGCTATGACATTTATTGAAGATGATATAGATGTTCAAGACAAACAACTGAAGAAGCTAATCATATCATTCCTTCGATTGAATAGTTGAAACTTCATGTGCTAGATAATTTATGTTTATGCTTTTGTTGTTGTACTAGACATTTAATGCTTACTTATATTTTGATATTATAAGCTACAAGGCTACAAATGATGTTATTGTCATTTTTTTTTGTAATTTCAAATATTATGTTTTGATTGCTTTCTTAATTTTTATGTATGATTTATAAATTATAATGGTCTAATATAAGTTAAAATAACAGATTTTGGTTTCTTAAATAATACGTAATAGTTTAAATAAAAAAAAAGTAACGCATTTAACAGGATTTGGTTTCTTGACAAGTTGGCAGATGACGCGGGACTTCCGTGCGTGGAGAGGAAGGGGCGGGGTTCGAACCCCGCTGAAGGCATGTGTGTGTCCATGCTTCACGCGGAAAGCCTGGCCCACGGTGGGTTCACGGTGGCGGGCAAGGCAGGCTGTGGGGCGGCTCGGGCGGGGCGGTTCACGCGGGCCAGCAACCGTGGCTTCAGCGCTCAGCGCTGTGTCCACCGCGGGCCGATGGGGTCCTGGAGTAGCGGTAGGTTGTAATTGATTTTTTTTTCTTGACGTTCCGACGCTTTAAAAATTCAACGGAAATATTTTCCAGCGGAAAATCCGCCGGAAATACGCCGGAAATGTTTCCGGCGAATTATTTTGCGCCGGAAGTCCTTTTCCGACTCGCGTGTAACCGGCGAAAAAAATTCCGTCGGAAATCCACCGGAAATGTCATTTTCTAACGGATTTTTGGCCATTTTCCGACGAAAATGTCCGCCGGAAAATGACATTTTTCCCGTAGTGTTTTTATATATGAATTATAAATTATAATGTCGTGTCTGCGCCATACCCGTATCCTGTATTTTTAAGAATTGATGTGTCATGTATCCTTATCATGTCGCATCCGTGTCGCCGTATCTGTATCGATGCAACATAGATGAAAACCTATATTACATTCAACATTCTTACCTTTACTATTTCCTTCTTCCTTCAATTTCTCTTTTTATTTTCTTCTCCCTTCTTCTGTTATTTCCTCTACCGAATTTAGTCCCTACACTTAAGGCAAAAACTCACTTCAATATCAGCCAAACTCCAACACATGGCAAAAACCAAAACCTCTGCTCTATTCATTACCCGCTCCAACATCGGTTGCTCCCAGTAATTCCTAAATCAAACTTCTGCTCCAGAAATTTTCCGCTCCGCACTGAACCCGCACAAGATACCCCTTGACTCCCTTATCTTGTTTCCTGCTTTCGTGAAGATCAAATCAAAGAAAGAAAGGGCCCACCGGATAACTAAACTCTCAACCTCACATCCATTGCGAGCAACTATTTAAAGAACAGAAAATGCTTAATTTTATTTAATCTATTACTCTAATATTTATCTTACTATTTACTTAACAATAATTAACTGTTTTAGAATTAATTATAGTTAAACTTTAAAAGAAATATAACTTATTGGAAATTTTCATATAAATTTATATTTGGGCATAATTTAATTAAATAAAATTCTATAATTTTACCAGAAAATTTGGGATTCTACAGGTAATCTAACATGAAAGGAATTTTCAATCAAATTTCTCAAAGAACACAAATAATGAGGATATGGGGCCAATTATGTGAATTACAAGGCTTATATAGTCAAATTTTGCTTTACAAATACTAAATATTTAAAATACGCTAAAATTTAATACTTGCATCATATGGATAGGAATTTGTACTAGTAACTAAGAGAAGCTCCTTATAGCTCGTGCCTGTATTTATTCTGCAGAGATAACTGTCCTTTAAGCCAAATGCAATTTTTCTTCGGGAGCTCCTTGAAATATCTTTAACGCTAAATGTTAATTTATGTTGGCTAGGTAATTTATTAGCTAGTATTTCATTAGTAATGGTAAGTTGCTTTTGTTCAATTAAACCAAAAATAGAGTTATAAAAAGAATGAATAATAGACTTCAAAAATCCTTAGATTAATTGCAAAAGTAGTATGTAAGAGTAACATCAAGCAAAACAAATTTTCACTCACAAAGTTTCGAGCAATATAGTCTTTGCACGTTCCCATGATTGAAGTAATTCCTGCAAGCATATTTCATCTGAACAGGAACAATGCTAGCCATAACAAACCATATGGAAAGAATATTCCTTGTTATCTAGTTTGATAATGTTTAGAAAATAAAAAAATATATATGTACCATGATCCAAGCTAAAATTTGAAATTTCAATTATAGAAGCCAGTGATATCTGATGTCTACATAGTCCAAATCCTGATGTAAACTTTTGGAACCAAGCTTCACAATCCAACAGAAGACTGTCCACGCCAAAAAAGAGTGCAGCCTGAAATGCACAATATACATGGGTGATCTTTGAAGCTTTCTTCTTTTCAATTTTGCTGGAAGCAATAAGCACTTGGTTTCACTCTATGTTTCTTGTCTTACAAGACTGATTGTCTTCAAAGCAAGTAATAACGCCTATTAAGTCAAAGCCTCGAAAACAATATGAATGCAATACATTACAGTAGAATAAGAAATGTTTAACTTAGAAATGCAGTAAAGTTCAAGACTTCTAGTTACAACCCAAGATGTACATTGCATATACCATTGTGTAGTAACTCCTAGTCAACAAAATAAAGGCACTTAATGATTTCAAATACCAGCCTAGAAGGAAATGCAAATAAAGTAATGGATTTTTAGTGAACTTAATCCAGCATCATATCAATTCATCGGTAAAATAGCTATATGAAACCATATGATTATGTAAAGTTGACTTTACCTCCAAATACATGAAAAAATTGCAAAGACTTCCTATTTCAGCAATAGATGTGCTAAGAAAAGAAAACATAGGGAAGGCCAGTTCAATATTTTGCTACTTATTCCAGTGATTGCAGATCAAGCAGGAAGATCAGGCAGGGAGTTCAGGTAGGTCGCCGCTACAGGTAAGTGTGGTCAGTTATTTGGTGCGGTTTTGGCTGTTTGAGGAGTGGAGATCTGAAGGCTCAGGGTCGGCCGCATGTAGAAAGGGCGACAAAGGTTTTTAGAAAAATGGGAAGAAGAAGTAGAATAGGAAGAAGTCGGAAGCTCTCGTGTGTGTGAGGCATGCGAAAAAACAAATGAACTGTGGGCTCCAAACATTCGGCCCCGGCCTCAGCCGACTTGTTGCTTTTTCTTGTCTTCGGGGGGAGTTTTAACGGATTAAGTTCCGAGGTAATGGAAGACAGATGGGTTTGTAGATAAGACAATACCCAAAGATTTCGCCCTCATTTTGCGAGAACTTTATGATCTGAGTTCTGATTTCCTATAGGCGCAAGCCCCTATAGTTAATTACCTCTCCCGACAACGAGAGAGAACTTTCGATTAAGTCTAGTTGTCAATAAATACATCATATCCGTAGATATGTGGTATCCGACATATAGTAGCAGCAATGAGCTTTGGATATTTGAAGATATTGACATTTAAAATTAGAAATTTCACCATCTTATACTTAAAGCGGATGGTGGAGGAATGGATGATGGACCCGATCAAGATCCCATGGTTCTGTCATCCCGGGTCATTGTGATCCGTGGTCTACTTAATTAGAGGAGGTAGTCGACCCAACCTTACAGAAGGATCCTTGTCGGGAGCCATGGGTTGCTTCGTCCAAGGGGACCTTATAGACTTGGGGTGAGTATTTGTCTAAGGGGACAAATTTGAATCCACCTTAGCTAACAAAGGGCTTTATGCCCTATCGATCATATCTATTGATTCATATCTCAAGTATTTGATGCAACTAAGGAACGTATTGACTTTGGCCATAACTGGTATTTCATTGTGCCATATGGCGACAAAACCACTCGGTTCAGAGGGCTCCGGATCATAACCATTTATCGTGTGATGTCATTTGGCAGCAAAACCGCCGGTCAGAGGACACGTACCACGTCCTTACTGGTAGAAGATTATTTGAGAATGGATCATAGTGATTTTTTTGACCAGTCATTAGCTCTATGTGAGCTAAAGTTATATTTCAATTTATTTGCCTCGGCAAACTGTTGCGGGTGGTGGATGAATTTTGCTTTAAGTATTTGATGGGTGGACTTCATTTTTAAATATATAGATTTTTTAGATTTTTGGGATTTTGGATTTTTAGACATTTTGAGTGGCAATTTAAAATATTAGTGAACCCCTCCGTTTGAGATTTGGGCCATCATTGGGGTGATTTTAAGGTCATTTCCATTTGAAAATATTTCCATTTTGTTGATGAACCTTGTCAACTCTGTTGAGCTGTCAACAGAGGATCGCGTTTCTTGGGCTTCACGTCTTTGTTCATAAATTTTCTTTGTTAAAGGCATTGAAGGCCTAATATAAATGTATAAAATAAATACTCCGGTCAACTTCGTGACCGCGTATTTATCCGATGATTCGAACCCTGTCTACTCCTATTTACCTGCTTAGGATGATCGGGTTTCATAGGTTTTATGCATTTATTAGTGAATTCTCTTAATTATAAGCCTTAAAGGCCTAATATAAATGTATTAAAACAAATACACCGGTCGTCACAACCGTGTATTTGTTTGAAGGTTCGAACCCTGTCGACTTCTATTGATCCACGTAACAGGATCAGGTTCGAGCTTGAATTCACTTATTGGCCCGCGCAGCATCCCTAAACGTCACATGTATTCCTACAACATGCTCGCTGGGGCCCATGCGGGTGTTTGAGAATTTCATTGATTGGACATACCCCTTGTGTACCTATGTGTATACAAACTAAGGTGCATGTGAGGGGATACTTTGAAATATTTTAGTTATACAGATAATTGCCATTTAAATGCACATAACAATTCATTTGAGAGCTTATATACGCCTTCTGTCTGCTAATACGAGTGTTGTGGATCCGGTGGCGGGGTGTAGCAGCTTCTGGATTGAGTTGAGTGCTGCATTGTACAGGTAGACTGTCGTGCACTACTTGCATGATTTATGCAGGTAGATTATAATGCACTAACTAATCTCCTGCTTTTGGATATAGGTGAATCATAGCGTTGTCACCTGAATCTCGCGAGATATCTCATTATTCTAATACAGACTCCCTTTTCTCATTCACCGGGAAGGGTCCTTTCTGGACTTTGAAATTAATGACCGCTGCTTTGGAAAGAACTCCTTTTAGGATATTTAGTGTAGTAGACTTGTTATTTCCGGTATTTGTGGATACCAGAGCTGTTTTTTTCCTAAGGATAGGATCAAGAAGAAATTTTGGAACACCTGGAAATTTAGTTCTAATTTGTTCAAACATCCCTTTCCTTCTGCCAGGGGTGTCCTTTTTCATATATCGAGTTTTCTTTATACCCGACATACTTTGCAGCATCTCAATCATCTCTGCTGTAGATGATATCTGTACTTGTGTCCACAAGGGTTCGTTGTGCTTACGATATACCCATTATTGTTATCCAAAAGTAGCTCGTGTTTATTTATAAGAACTCATTGTATCCACTACAACCTCCTGGAAGTGTTCGTAAGAGAGTCATTATTTCTGCATCATATCCACCTTTCACCAATCTCAAGTGGGTTTGAGGTTTGCATTTGTTTGTAGGGACGGGTCTTCCACTATCGAATGCCAGTATTGCCATCTCAATCTACAGGCAACATTGATTGTATTTGAGATCTCAATAGCGCATATAGGACACACATATGCATTATGCAACTATTTGTTGTTCTTGTAGGTACTACGCACCTAATCTCGTAGAGACTGTTGTAAGAGTCTACTACATTCTTTGTTTGTATGCATTAAGGTCTTGTAGTGTGTCTGCTTGTACCTTGATATTAGTTATGAGGATGTTGCAATATCCTTCGTACAAGAATTCGTGGGTGTTTGTAGTTGTCGCATCTTAGTCTCATTCATTTGCAAGGATTAATGCATTTCTTCTGACTTTGAGTCACTATTGACAGTACAAATATTCTTGTAGTTTGAGTTCCCTCGTGTATAATTCAAGTTTTGTTCTTCGTATATGCTTGAGTCCAAGTTCAGTTTCATTTAGACTTGAGTTCATCGAGTTTACAAGTCTCACTTAAATGTTGTATAGTTCAAGTTCAAGTGCACAAGTTCTTGTTGTCCACATCTTGTCCCAGTTTGAGTTCAGAGTACATGTTCAAGTGCTTGTTCAAAGTCTTCTGAAGTCTTTGCAGGTTTAATTGCATGTTCGTATTGATTTGAATTGCATGTTCGTATTGATTTGAACTTAGCTCCAATTTGATTTTATTTTACTTTGGTTTGACCTTTTATTCATCATTTAGATTTTGTTCAAGTTCAAGTCCACAAGTCCACTGTTCATGTCATTTGAGTCCAAGTTCTTATTCTTTTGAGTTTAAATCAGGTCTGAGTATAGTAATATATTCACCCAAAATTTCGGCAGCCTCCCGGCGTCTCTCCCGTTTAGGGGTAAACTACGGAAAACTAGGCCTCCCGACACGCAAGAGAAAAGATTGTACGGTAGGTGCCCTCGTACGAGGACATCGCAGCCGTGAAATCTTTGTCCCCACTATGCCAGAGAAAGGCGTGTATGGGTCTTCAGTACCTGTTACAATAAAAGCAGTTGTTTCCTCGCATGTACAGAGCCGCGTACGGGTACTTAAAAGTTGTCCCGGTCACGCTAAAACAAGCTTGCACCGGGCCTACCTGCCTCGCCATAGATGTCGCACCGGGTTCCCTTCACACCACGTTAGAGAAAAGCGTGTATGGGCGGTTTGCCAGCTCGACACGAACGTCGAGAACAGGATTTTGGAGTCGAGGGGTCACTCACTTACCTCGTCGTAGGTGTCGCACCGGGTTTCCTTCCCACAACGCTAGAAAAAAGCATGTATGGGCGGTTTGCCGGCTCGACACGCACATCGAGGTAAGAGAGGGATTTTTTTATTTTATTAATTATAATTATTGATTATTATTAAAAAAATTATAATTAATTATAATTAAATTTAATTAATTAAAATTAATATACAATTAATTAATTAATAATTATAATTAATATCAATTAAACACAACTAATCTTAATTAATCATGATTAATTAAATACTAATTATAACTAATATAATTAATTATAATTAAGTTTAATTAATTATTATTAATTTATAATTAAAATTAATTAATTATAATAATAATTATTATTATTATTACAATAATAAAACAAAATAAATAATAATAAAAAAGCCCCAAGGGGCTACTTGGTAATGGGTTTTGGCCGCAGAAGCATGTGAAAGGTAGAAAATTTCCTTCACAGTCGGCGAGCTTCCCTTGTTTCCGATCAAACAGGGAGGGAAAGTCGTCGAAGGCGTGAGGTCGAACAATGACAGAGGAGCAGAATAAGCATTGGAAAGGGAGAAAGTTGCCCTCACAGCGGGCGAACTCACGTTGTGGCTTCCGACCTAAATGTTATAACTTCCGATCAACTAGAAGGGAAATCGTCAAGGGAGTAAGGTCAGACGGCAACACAGGAGCCAGAGAAGCCATGCAAGAGGGAGGAAGTTGTCTTCACAGCTGCGAGCTTCCATTCTTGCTTCCGATCAAACTGTCGTCACTTCCGATCTGATCAGAAGGACAAGTCGTCGAAGAGGCGAAGTCCAATAGCGACGAAGGAGCGGAGGGAGCGATCAAATGGGAGAAAGCTATCTCCATAGCGAGTGAGCTCCGGCTCTTGCTTCCGATCCAAATGTCGTAACTTCCGATCTGGCTCGAAGGGAACGTCGTCGAACGAGCGAAGTTGAGCAGTGACGAGAGAGAGAGCAGGTCACGAAAAAGGCCGAAGGCCTCATTCTTGCGGCCATTTAAAGGCGCGAGGTGAGATCATGCAAAGCACGATCGGAGTGGCTTCGACGTGCGAGGGACGTGCGAATTGACGGCTCGATGTGTGCGGGATGGCTTCGGCAGAGAGCAAGTGATTTTTTTTTGTTTAACATTACGGGTCAACATGAACCGAGAGCTATTTGGTTCTCATTTTATTAACGAAGGTAGAGGCGGCATCAGGGCAAGCTACGCACGGAAAGAATGGACATTTTCAGCGCGGTTTATAGGAAGATGGGACTATAGGAGGCGGCGGAATGGGCTTCAACAGGTATGCGTGGGATTTGAGCAGGTATGGCAGAGATATTTATATGTTTATTTTGCTTTCTTTGTATTATATGTTAGAGGTCAACACTCTCATTTTAAAAGTTGAAATTTTTAACTCAACCTTGAATGAGAGAGTGACTCTTAATTTTAAAAGTTGGGAATGTGGACCCAATCTTGAATTAGAAAATTATAAGTGTTCAAAAGTTTATAGTCATCATATGACTTGTCTAATATATTAAACAGTAAATTGAACCAAAAAATGTAAAAAGTTAACCATATATTGATGCCTTGTACCGCTTATAATTTAAATTGATTGTTACCATATTTCCTCTTCTTATATTATGGTTGAATATTTCACTAAGCTCGCGCTCATTAACAGTGATGGTGCTACATGAAAGGAGGAGCTAGTGGATCACTAAGTATGAGGGTTGATTACACTGTTTTTGTACATAAATTTTGGGTGTACATAAAGATCAGAATAGAAGTTGTATTGATAAATTTTTTGATATGTAAATGTTATTTGAAGGTTTAGAAAGTTCTGTATTTTATTTGATGTGTTTTAAATATGCTTCCAATTATGAAGCATTGATGCCAATTAAGATTTGAAAATTTTGATGTGTAGGGATAATTTGAATAAGCTATTTCCAACACATCTGATCCAGATAGAAGTACTTTAGGATGAGTGTTAGTAAGAGATAGGCTTCTCTAGATTCTTCCTCTCTGTTACACCCCAGGTTGTCTGTAGGGGTGATTAAAATTGGGTGTGACGGCTCGAATGGCTTGAATCAAGGATATTGATTGAATAAAACCGAAGAAAAAAAGTTTGTTTGTTCAATTGCTAGCCTAAGAAAAAATTTGATTGGTCATGTTTTCATCTTAGTGTTGTTTACATAATCATAAAGTGCTTCTATAAGTCACTAAGGTGTCTACCAAAAAATTTTATTGTCTCAAATCCTATCTTAAGAAAATAAATAAATAAATGTGAAAATTTTGAAAAAAAAACTCCTTTTAGAAATTCTAATGTCATTGGATCAAAACATGATCTGATGACAAATTTTGGATGCCGGCCACTTAAGACATTTCAAAGGAGTACAACTGATGCGTTAAATCTCATTTCGACAAACTATTGCATGTTTCCCAATATTAATCCATGTTTTCAAATTTACTCCCAGCATTTCCCTCTATTTGGTTAGCCATTCTTAGATCCTTCGGACATAAATATCCCGCCTGTTTAAGGCTCTGTACTCCTATGAAAGAACTACAATCAAAGCTTTCTCTTGCTCATTTTCTTCCACTTCCCCCAGCTTTAACATTATCACTCAAGGTCATCATATGCAAAGCATGTTATGGTGCATTCGTGATCTCAATGGATACCTGGAAGCAAAAGGTTATAAAATTGATTATTATTCTAGTTGTCTTTTGCACTTACATAGTTCTCGATATTTATAAAATGTACCAAGTAGTGTTTTAATTTGGTAAGTTATTTGTGCATGGATCAACCCCTTGTAACCTGCTTTCTATCTATTGTATTGGTGCTTATGTATCTAATATTACTTTTTTCCTTCTCTTCTGTTATAAGGGTTGAGCTTGATCTGCAAAATGGATCATCGTTTACTCAAGACATAGAAAGTTGTGAAGTTGTCTTCATAGGTGGTGAACACGATTTAGTGGAATTCTCAAAGGGCAGCTTAATGAATGGATGTAAACTTGAAGTTAAAACATAAACCTTTCTGTCTTTAGTTTGTTTGTTTTTTTTTCCTTTTCATTGCTCCAAACTATCTAGATATTGACTCTTCACTTTTCATACAATAGTGTGAATCTATCTCTCAATTAAAGTTGTGTATCACCATATTGTGAATTTTCACTCTGTCAAATGTATTCAATATTTTTTGGCAAATTATTGCTTCATTTCACCAAAAATACAGCAGCTCAACACTCCATAAGTGATAGAAGATGCAAATGAACAAGACAGAGACCAACTAGATGTAGTATAATAAAGCCTTATTACCTCCAAGAGATTGAGAAAATTTGTCGATGTAACAATTAACTGGTAGCCATAAATAAACTGCAGGACATTGAGAATTGATTCCATGCTCCAATGGATTGAGATATGATAAAGTCTTGATTCACTTCATACAGAAAAATATCACGTAAGAAATGTCTGCACAACAAAAAATAATTTTAAAAAATTTGTAATAACACAAGTTTTAAAAATTGGTTTCAATTTTAGGGCAGAAGTTTTGAATTCGCTGATTTTGTTTATTTCAGCAATTCTCTAATTTTCTTTCATTGATATTTGTTATATTTTAAATAAAGAGTATCATTTTAACTAAATAAAAACAAAAATGTGTGCTCACACCTACTCTTAGGCAAGGAAAAACATGCCCACTTTTGTAACACCGGACAGTTGTTATTGTCGGCAGATGTTGGCAAATTTTTTTTTTTTTTTTTGGGTGACATGGTTGAATTAAAACCCAAAACTATTTGCCTACATGTATATTTACAACGGATTCCACCCAAACGAAGTAGAAAACAACCAAGATGTATTGGTTTAAGCCAGAAGTCACGTTTCTAATTTTGATGTTTGCATGAATTTCTACGCTTCAAGAGATCTCGGTTGGAAAAATTAAGCAGATGGAGATACAATTTATTAATTTTTTAATGCTTACAAATACAATATCTAAAATGTAAATTTTTCCTTACTCCAGTTAAGTTTGCTTAAGGTGAATTCGGCTAGCATCAAGAGAACAAAAACAGATGAATGAATTAATTTCAGGCCTCCGAACTTATGAATTTTTTCTATATTTATAGAATTTGAGTATCCATAATTATATCCTTTGGTGAAGAAATTTTTCTCTTGGCAAAAAAAGTACATTTTGCAAAATTCAAAAACCTAACTTCAGTACATACAAAAAGAAACTATTATAATATCCATTTGTAAACATTACTACAGATATAAAATACATACAAAATGAATTTCTTTGGGAAAGAGAATTTTCTCTTGATGAAGAAAATAAATTTTGTAAAACTCAAAAGCCTTATTTTAAAACATACGAGATGAAACTTTTGTGAAATCTACTTGTAACACATTGTAATATATATATATATATATATATATACAAAATGAATTTTACAAAATGTTCTTTCTTTGTGAAGAGAAAAATCTCTTCACCAAAGAATATAATTATGCATATTCAAATTCTAATATGATCAGCCAATGTAGTTTACTTAATTGTCAATTCAATTTAATAGTCGTCAGGTAGGTTGACTAGAATACGAGTTATAGTGTCTACTCAGTCTAAGGATTAGTAAGATCATTTCAATTATCAGTAGAATCATCCATGACACAATCCGAACGCATAGACGATGCCTCTTGTAGAACCTTCAAAGGAGCAATAGAATAAAGAAACCTATAGGGTAATGCCACATATCACAGCAAATTGAGAGCCAAGCCATAAGGCAGTAACATGGCAAGCCTGATGGAACTACTCCTTGCCACCCTGGTTAATCAAAGAGAAGCCGCCTATCCTATCATGATCATTGATTGCTCAGCCGTCACCTAAATAAAATGGGTGAAGCCTTGGAGATTAGGTTTGATGCATATTAATGTGATAACACATGAATGAACGAACACATGTTAACCAGAATGTGATGTTAAAGGGTGATTTATTTACATGTAGCTAATATGAATTAAACAATGGTTTGATGGGGCCAAAGCAAGAGGCTGCTCTCATAGATGAAGGTTGTTAATATTATAGCGTGAAAGCTCTCTAACAAGAGGGTTGATGGATCGGGTAGCTTGGCTCAAAAGTACAGAATTAAAAGTGCAAATTTAAGCCATGTGAGCAATAAAAAAAAAAAACATAACATGAAATGACAGAAATGTGAATGAAAATGTGATGCATGATGAGGCAATTACATGACCAATAGGATTAAGCATAGTCATGAGATGTGAAACATATAAGTAAACAAGAATTGCTTTTGAAAATTAATAATAATTTGAACATTAACCTTGCTAATTGTAAACTTATGCTTCACCGTGTTAGATTATTAGAAATTTCCATTAGAGGTTTATGTAACAACAAACGATTACAAACGAGATTAACAGGATAAATTCAAAGCAACAATAAAATAAGAAAGTAAAACTAATGGCAATGAAATAAAAATCCACGACTTAACAATGAAAAGTGTTCACCCTGAGTTCTCTCACTCTCACTCTTGAAAGTGGTGTTTAGTGGAGAAATGTTAGAAGTAACCCTAGTGATGTCACCACAAGACATGTGACGCGTAAGGTATTGTTCGCCAGAGAAGTAGCCGGAGGAGGGGAAGTTGATGGTCGGCCGATGATTTGCTACTGTCCAGTTGGTCGTTGCTCGTCAATCATCTAGGCGAGATGATAGAGTATGCAATCTACGTAGCTTTCCACTGACTCTTCGAATTCCCAGTCTGGAACAAAGAAGGGCGAATGAAGAATGTTGATTTTCCCTTGGGAGTTGTACGCAAATGTGAAAGCCATTTTTTCCTTCCAGGTTCGTCCGGACGAAGTTGGATCGTCCGGGGACGATCGGTACAGGTTGTAGAGGAATTTCTGGATAGAGAAGTTCGTCCCAGGAAAAACTAAGGTATGTCCATACGAAATTTTTCCAGAGGGCAACTCGTCCAGGAACGATAACTATTTCGTCTGAACGAAATTCGTCCTGTGGGCAAATCGTCCCGGGACGATTTTGGATCGTCCAGGACGATCAGTTTGGATATACATGGGTTTGAGATCTTTTTGAAGAGAGAGAAAAACCCAGGAAAGAGAAAACCGAAGGAAAAAGAAAGAAAAGTGATTTTTGGGAGACTTCGGTCCGTTTTCGTCCGTCACGGTAGTTGGAAAAGTTGACCGACTCGAGGTAAGGCACATTCCGCCTTTCTTAATTTTCATAAACGAAAATTTTAACGATTGTTGACCTCTATTAAGTAAAAGAAAACAAAAAAAAAATCAATTTCAAATCTCACCTGCTCTCTTCCATCCCACGTCCCTGGCATGCCGAGATCGCCTCTCCCACGTCGCACAACGAGGCTCGCACGACCCAACGTCTCATCCCACACGACTAGTTTGAGTCGTTAAATACCAAAGGGAAACGAGAGAGCAAAGCTCTCGCTGCCTGGCTCCGCTCCTTCACTATCGTCGCTGCTTCCGATCGAGCTCTGCCTCCCTCAACTCCAGTCCGATGTCGAAGCCTCAATCCCTCTCCCTCCGACACGCTTGTCCAGCTCCTTCGCAGTAGTCCGACTTTGCTCTTTCGACGACATTCCCTTCTTAAGGGATCGAAAGTTACGGCAGTTTGATCGGAACAACAACGAGAGCTCATTTGTTGTGGAGTAACTCCCTCCCTTTCACAAGCTTCTTCGGCCAACTCCCGTCCAGAGAAATCGATAGAGAGAGAGAGAGAGAAAGAGAGAGAGAAAGAGAGAAAGAGATAGATCTCCCTACCTCTTGTCCAAGCCGGCGTCTGCTCTCCCCTCTCCGATCGGAAGCAACAACAGGGAGCACGCTTGCTGTGTAATTAACTTTCTCCCTTTTCACATGCTCACTCGGCCAAATCCCATGAGTCCGTCAAACCGAAACAAAAAAAATATTTATATTAATTTTTAATTAATTGTAATTAATCTTAATTAATTGTATTAATTATAATTTAATTATTTTTAATTATAATTAATTAAAAATGACTTTTAATTAATTATGATTAATTAAACTTAATCATAATTAATTATGTTATTTTTAATTAATTATTTTTAATTATAATTAGTTATAATTAATTGAATTTAATTATTATTAATTATAATTAATTAAGATTAATAAAAATGCACGCTTTTCTCTAGCGTGGCGGGAGGCCCAGTTTTTCCGTAGTTTTCCCCTAAACGGGGGAGACGCCGGGAGGCTGCCGAAATTTCGGGTGAAATATTACTACACTTGGACCTGTTTTGAACTCAAAAGAACAAAAAGATTTGGACCAAATAAGAAAGAGCAGTGAACTTTTGAACAAGAACAATGACTTGTGGACTTTTGAACTCAAAACAACGAGCAGTGGAACTCAGATGAACTTGAACAGTGGACTTGGGAACCTGAATCAGAACAAAATTCTAAAAAGATTTCTAAAGAAATCCAAATTCAAATGAAATAAAATCATACTTGAACCAAACTCAAATCAATACAAACATGCATTTGAACTTGCAAGGACTTCAGAAGATCCTGAACAAAGACTTGAACTTGCATTCTGAACTCAAATTGAACATTAATGGCTCGAGCAATTTGAACTCAAGCGAGTAATTGAGTTGGATTGTAGGGGATTTGAACAAAAGCTTGAACCTTCAAGAACACGAAGGGACTAAGTCTTGCATCTGGTCTAGCGACTAAGACCCTGAGCTCATACTCGAACTCGGACCATAAGACATTAAGCGATGATTTGTAAACTTGATGGATTCAAGTTTGAATGAAATTAAACTTGGACTCAACACATGCAAAGGTTGAAACTTGGATCACACACAAGGAAACTCAAACTACAAGACCTCGATGCGCGAACTCCTACGACAATCCCTACAAATGCCTGTTGATTGAGAAGGCAATATGGGAGACCAATAATGGAAGGACCGTCCCCTACAAACAAGTGCAATCAACAAACCACCTGAGATTGGTGAAAGGTGGACAAACGAGGGTCTCCTACAAATATTCCTAGGAGCTCGTAGCAAACACAACGGATCCTTACAAACAAATACAAGCCACTTGTGGATAACAACAATGGGCATATTGTAAGCACCATCGAACCACTGTGGGCACAAGTACAAGTATCTCCTGCGACGTTCGCTACGAGGTCAAATGAACTATATTGGAAAACAACAGTAGTAAGTTGCAAAGTTCACATACGACTGTCGTATGTGCTAATATATCTCAAATGAACTATAATATGATCTTCTACAAACATTTTCAGGAGGTCGTAGTGGATACAACCGGCCCCCTGCAAATGACTACAAACCACTTGTGGATAACAACAGTGAGAACCTCGTAAGCATAGCGAACCACTGTGGACACAAGTACGGATATCACCTACGATAGTGGTGATCAAAGTGCTGTCAGTACACCGGG